TCGTTGTTTTACTTCTTAAGTATAATTCCTGCCTTCGTAACAAATATAATGTCTTTTATCGAAGCACTGTTTAGGTTGAGACCTTGTGTAATTTTGCTACGTGTTTTGTCGGCGGGAATCTAGCAAAACTTGTTGTTTATGTACAGTTTTAACACTACTGTTGCTAACAATGGTCTCTGTGAGCCATATTTACTGCAGACAAATAGCTCGTTTCCATTGCGTTTGCCTGAGTCACAGGGGTTGTTTAATTTGGCTCAAATTTGTCAAAATTCCCAAGCAAAAATTTGAAAGCCAACTTACCGTCATCAACCCGTGTTCTGTTCTCTGTTAAAGCACGCTGTTTCAACCAATCAGAGCGCGCGTTATATAGAAACTTTATTATAATTTGTCATACAAGCTGATAACTGATTGTGATAGAGAAGAGGGTTAAACTGAGCGGGATTGTTTGATTTTTTTTTTTTTTAAGAAGTTTTTGTTGTCGATTACTTTTTCAAATGTCTTCCAAGCTTTCCTAACTTCAAATATAACTTGTGCTTTTATCTTCGTTTGCCTTAAAGAATGAAGGGTGTAGCCTTAATTGACCACTCCCCCAATGGGGCTTTTCAGGGCCAATGAAACCAAATGATGAAAAGAATGATGCAAATTAACATAACATGGTTCAAAATCCCAACTGGCAGGAGGCAGACCTGTTGGCTATTTACAACCGTTGACGAGGAGTTCGGAACTAGGTTCTACCGAGAAACTTGAACTCCAGTTTAGTAATCAGAGCGCCCTAACCACTCGGTCACGCTGCCTCCACGAGCGTGGAGGAACACTTTAGTTTTATTCCCGCCATTATTATAAACCTCGAGCATTAAATTTCAATGCATTGTCAAAGAGACAGCACAGTGAACAAGAATACTGAAAGAAAATTATCCATTTGCAATTGAGCAGCTTGATGCTTCATTGAATTCTCAGAACCGAGCTTCGAAGAAAATTATCACAATCAGAAAGTAAAGGTCATCTTTTGAGTAGTTTACTGTAGAATTCCGAAAGTAATGCCCATCCACACCCCCCCCGCGAAAATAACGGCTCTCCGAGAGTTAATTTTTTTACCTTCCAGTTGAACCCCTAAAGTACGGTCACCTCAGTCCTTATAAGGACATTCAGATCTGCCCCTTTGGTTTCCGTACAGTTTAGGTTCAACCGTTAAAATAACCAAACCGGGGGCTAAACACTGACTCATCAAGTTACACAGATTAAACTTCATTGATTCATTTTCATGATAGTTTCTAATGCCGCGCAAACTGCGGATGGAAAAAAACATGATGTCCGCTAGCTCACTGTAGAAGCCCCAGCTTAAATAGGCTGCCTATATAGCCCTTAAGTGTATGCCTCGGATATTTTAGACAGATATATGCCCAGGAGATGTGTTGTAATTTGGCCTGTTTCGTCAGGAAATAAAGTTTTGAATTTACTCATAAACGAATTAACGGATACATTACACGCAAAATATATGGAAAAAAAATAAAGAAATGCCATTGGATTTGATAAAACCTGTACGATGAAATATCTCTTCACCTGTGCATCGAAATAGAGCACCAATTGATGACATTTCCAGACAAGGAGCCAAGTCTCTAAGGCAGTTAGTTCGCACGACAGGGGAGCAAACATAACTCAGCACTCTCGTGTAATGACAGATAAGCAGAGAAAAGAAATACCTTCATGTCCAGACCTTGCCACACTTGCGCATCCTAAGTGAACAAACGATGATTGACAAAAATCATACAGTACTGAATTTCCTTTGTCATGATGCACAAGGCTAATTGTTTCAAGTCCGGGGGACTACACCCCATAGTTTTTGGTGGGGGGTATGCGGCCCGAACCAGGAAAGTTTTACTGGGATTTTCCATATCCTATTTTAGATCTGAGTGAAAATCGATACCTCATTTCAGACTGAACTCTAAAATTAGTACACCGTTGTAACCAAAAATGGCTTGCATTTGCGTTAACATTTGAGAAGGGTTGCACTGTTTGGCATTCTTGAAGCGGAGAAAAGCAGTACCTTGTAAACAACATACCCAATGCCAAACTAGAGTTAAAAACATACCCTATATCAAACCAAAATGGTCAAAATCGATGCCCTTTTTCAGGTCAAAATCGGTCAAAAACCATACCTGTGGGGGCCGCACCCCGGGGGCTGCACATATAAACACATTAAATAGCCCATATAAGTGAGTTCCCNGTATTCCGTTCTGAGGTTAAAAGGGCTTTCCGTACATCAGTTAGTGATTGCGGATGAGGTCGAAAAAAGCCATAATGTGTTGTTGTGGTCAGTCCACCATCCTGAGTGTAAATCGATCGCCCCTTCATTCTGAAAATTAACCCCGCTCTGATATATGGCGACTTCATTTTGCAGAGCTGTACAAATCAAGAGAATTGCAAATTTGGCCTGATCGGTAGTAGGTAGTAGGTTAACTAATTAGCCACAGCTGTTGTGTTAACGAGAGAAAACTACGCAAAGTCTTCATTTTATGAATTCCCTTGAAGAGCTACCACCCTCTGGAAATCCGAAAGAATTTGTACGGTGACAAGTTTGACGACATTTCGGGAGTAATTTCCGTGAATTCCCCGGTTAATCAGTTGTCTCCGGTTACTCAATAATTGTGTACAAAATAACCAAGACTTGGGAACATCCTGTACCTTAATACATGTTATATGTTAGATAAGCTTGTAAGCAGGAATAGCTCGGTAATTAGCTAAATTATCTCTATTCTTTCCCGCCTGAATGAGAGGTTCAAGTTTATACGAGATAAGGAATCTTATGACGAGGTCTTAAATGCGTCAGCGATCATTTTATGCTTTCATAACGGTTTAAAACAAGAATCAAATAAAAGATTAGCCATTGCTATCGTTTGCGTAAATGAGAATTGTGTACCCTTTGTTCGATGGCAATAAAGAGCGCATCTCGTGCCAAAAGCAAGCGCGTTTTGAGTGACATGTCTCTCGACCACCCGGGGTGTTTGTTTGGTTCGAGCTCTCAAAAGTAATATAGGGGCGCTTGTGTCGTACTAATTTGACAAATAGCCCCATTTCGTTAGTTATCTGTTCATCAAATCGACACGTTTCTAAAGAACAGGCGAGGAAGGTGTCAACCGAACGATTACTGGTTCCCAAAGTCCATGCTTGATAACAGCATTGGCAAATATTGTAATCGTTTTGGCAGAATTGCCTCACGTCAGTAAGTACGTAAAGCTTTCATCGCCAGTGCAGGGGTCACAAATTTTTTATACATCGTTTCGGAAATCAATAAGAGCAAGGATGGGGGGTTTACTAAGGGCAAACGGCTAATTCAAGATCCACGTGAGAACTATGCTGTGTTGATCCTTCATAACTTTCAGCACAAAGTAGGAAGCGAGGCCATTGACTGCCGGAATCTTGCGCCAGATAAGTTTGTACAGAATTTGCGATTGGCAAATAAATCTCGCTGTGGAATCCACTCATGGTAAAACCATTTTAGAACGCCGTGAGCTGAGATGCAGGCTGAGAACGGTAAGTAAATGCGATCTTGCTAATACGCTTGTCAGCACAACTGTGATCTCGAAAATTCCGCATTTCCAAAATGTTGTGATTAGTTTATGCCGTATTGTACGCCAAATCCAAACACGGCCTTTTCTCCTCCGATAAAAGTCGCAACTGAAGTTACCTTACCGAAGGCCAAGAGAAGGCGAGGGAAACTTATGATTTTATCGTTTCTCTTTTATACCCAAATTATAATATGAATGGCCCGCAATAAGTGATTAATTGTGTGTTTTGACATCATCTGCATAACTGTGAATCTTTTCTTTTCTTTTATTAACAGGACACATTGCTTCCTAACACCGCCAGACCATAAAAGACTTATGATTGATTAGGTGACGGGAAGGGAATCGTGTAGCAAATTGGCTGTGCGCGTTTGGGAGCGCGTCGCAATCCTGACAGGATTTTAAACAGACGACACGAGCACCTAAAGTAGAGATTATACAACGCAGTCTGAGCCAAATCTCCTCTGATTGAGAGTGTTTATCGTATTATCATCAACAACTTAGTACTAGACGTCGGCCAAGAATTCCTACGACGGGTATTTCCGTTTCTTGAAAGTTTAGTGGAAGTCAAGAACTGCTTTTTTTTCTCTCGTGCCAAAGCCCTGAATAAGTTAACAATGGAGCCGCAGTGTTTTATATCTGTGTTTAATTTTATTGTGTTATTTATATTGGTTCCGAACCTTTATCGCCAAAGTTTCTCGACAGTGACAGCTTCGTCCGCTCGCACTGACTGTTATGATGATTACGGACGGCCACAGAGATGTTTGCCAGAATTTCACAATTTGGCGTATGGGAAACGGATCTACGCAAGCCACTCATGCGGTAAACCTCCGCGAAAATTCTGCAAGTGGCAGCTCAGAGGACACACTTGTCATGTATGCGACTCGAGGGTTCCAAGCAAAACTTATCCCGTCAAATACCTGACTGATCTACACAACCAAAACAACGTGACATGCTGGCAAGCGGATCCCAAGCAATCCCGAGAGAACGTTACTCTAATCCTCTCGCTTGGAAAAACCTATGATATTACGTACATCAGCTTGCAGTTTTGCGGGCCGAGGCCCGAGTCTATGGCCATATACAAATCCCTGGACTTTGGCAAGAGTTGGAGGCCGTATCAGTTCTATTCAGGCTCATGCAGCAGGGTCTACGGAAGACCAAAGAAAGCATTCGCTAGCAGAGAAAATGAACAGGAAGCGCTTTGCACCGATGCGCATCTCATAAAGCCTCTTCAAGGAGGCAGAATTGCGTTCAGCACCCTAGAGGGTAGACCCTCGGCGAGTGATTTCGAATCCAGCTTTGTTCTTCAAGAGTGGGTCAGTGCGACTGACATCAAAATCGTCTTCAACCGCATCAGCGCGGTCAGCAAGAAGCAAGAGTATAAATACTACGCCGTGTCGGACTTGGCTGTCGGTGGACGTTGCCGTTGCAATGGACATGCAGGCAGGTGCCCGATCAGCCGTGACGGGAACCCAGTATGTGAGTGTAAGCACCACACTGCTGGTAACAACTGTGAGCAATGCAAGGCATTTTTTAATGATCGACCGTGGAGGCCTGCTACCGAGACCTCGGCAAATGAATGCGTAGGTAAGAAAGGCTGTTAAATCATTTTTTTCAGGGTAGTTTTACGATATAATGTCGAGTCTTTTTGCACCAATAAATCTCAGCGTGTGTCGTGTAGCGATTGAGATTGTTTACGTGATGGCGTATTGTTCCATTGAGAGTGTTTGCGTTTGCTAATTTGCCCTCTTATGCGTAGACTTGTAATAACTGTCATCGGCGCACATTTAGTCGCATTTAGGGCTAATTAGCGTTTGCAAAGCAACGCTTACCTGGGCTTGAAAAAGAAAGTGTTATAAAATGTGTCTTGCGGTTTGAGGTTTGGAATTTATTTTTCCAAATACGGTACGTAAAGACTACTGATTTAGAGTTTTAGCACTCGGCCACCGAAAAACGTGCGGCATCCTTAAGAGATACAAAGGATCAAGTAAGGTCCCAGAATGTCTGATGTCGAGTTAGTGGACAATAAATGAGGTGTTACCTCCTAAAGACTGCTTTTTTCCTGTCTATTAACAGCCGGGCTTTGACGTATTACGATTGTCTTACCAAACTGGTACGTGTAATAACGCACAAAACAGCCGTTGACCCAGCTTCGGTGTATTAAGTATACCCTTCTCCTTGCGGAGCTAACCAAAACGACCAGCTCCTTCAGCCTTCTATCCACAGTAAGTCAAGTGTACGTATCACGGCAATAAAGGAAGTTATCTGACAATAGATATTTTGATAGATGATCATTCTTCGATTGAGTTCAGGTTTTACTTAATAACAAAACAGTATAGAGATCAGTTCAGAAAATTTGCCTGTTAAACGCCCCAGGGTTGAAAGAGTAACTGCGTTCTTTTATTGCACTGCTCAATTAAAGATCTTCGCAAGATGTAATTTAAAAACAAAATGGTTTTTTTAAGATTATACGTTCTTGACTATCGGGTTTGCCTTTTGCACTGTTTAGAGACTTGTATTCCGTGTTGAAAATGCTGGTAAAATCTTAGGACTGTCCATTTTAAGTGGGATTATGAAACGCGGATTTGTAAAAAATGCGAAGAATTTATCAAGTTTCCGCGAACTCAAAATTGATATCACAAAAAGATAATTTATAAAGGCCTGTGTTTTGATGCGTCTTGATGGCGACAAGAAAATCACTCTTCACAACGCCGAGAACAAAGGATGAATAAAGAAGAAAATATTTGTATAAGCATAGCTTAAGAGCTTGACTCCATTGAGACGACGAAATAGTTTCTATAATTGAGACTAATTAAGGAAAATTCTATGATCGTCCGACAGAGCGAACTATTTTTACAGAAGGTCTTGTTATTCATTACCCATGCAAAGCTGACAATATAGACACGATTTTTTATTACACTTGACTATTCTGATAACGACAGCTCATTTATCTTTGGACGAGTAGAAGCTTCTAGAGATGGGTACATATTTATATTTATTTCTATTCCAGAATGATTTATTTACATGTTTTAAAGAAATTTCACTTTAAAATTAGAAAGAAACGATGGTACTTGCATTAAACCTTGAGAACTTCAGTCAGCATACGACCCTGTACGTTTCGCAGCCGGAATGATACATATATGTATATTATACCTGATACAAATTCTGTTGATTGTTAAAAAATGAAATAAACGGTTATTTAAAGCACGATTTGCGTGCCTTAAACTTTAACCTTTAATTAAGGCATACAGTTCCAAGGACAGACTAGTTCTTGTCTTATTAAAGCTTGAGTTTTGACTGAACAAATGAAAATGTATTTCTATTGTAGTACAAAACAATTTGTTGAACATTTGGCGCTTTCGGAAAGCGAACAGAAATAAAACAGTCAATAGTCTCTGAACCTTATGTGCATTCATTTTCACTAGAATGTTAACTCCATGGTTGGAAAGATCATTACCGGAATAAACCAGTGTTGCAAAATCCACAGTTCTAAGCCAGAATTAAGTGACCGAGATTTCAGCTTGTCTATTCCACAACATGACAAAGTATATTAGCTTTACTAAGATTAATAACCCGAAGTTATCACTTCCACAATGGCAAACTAAAACAAATCTTCATGAAAACTTTCTGTTTGCAGTGCACACGGATAAGCGAATATTAGAAGCCCCCACAACACCGCCGGCTCATTCGTACACCGAAAACACATAATTTCTCACAAAGTAAAGAAAGCTACTGATTTTAAGTTTCATTTTACAACACTTTTCTCTCTCTAACAAGAAAAAAGAAATTTGGACCCACGTTATGGCAGGTACGTATTTGTGTTGTACAAGTAGTATCCAAAATGGCAGACACGGGTACTTTTGTACACTGCTTTAAAGTTGCTAC